ATATGTCTGAAGCATACATAATATTTTTTATTCACTGATAATTGAGTTATGATCATTGAATTGAGCCAATGTAGCAAAAAATATTACGTGCATGGAGTCTGGACGTTGTTCGGAATCCGATCACTAAAGACATGTAGATTTTTTCTCTCTTGTACACAGAATGTGCATAAGATCGAAAAAATTCACGTATCTTTACGTGATTAAAATCCAGACGAAAGCTACGTCCAGACTCCTAACGTAATAATTTCTAGAAATGTACAACATAAAAATGATGCTTATATCTACTTATTAGTTCGTCGACCTTTCACTGTATATGACATACATACGATAGTATTGTCTTTCACTTCGATATATTAAAGGATATTATATTGAATTATCAAAGACTTTTGTGCGTTTGTAGTTCATTTCATTATTCATAGAAAAAAAATATTTAATGAACAGTTGGATCATAGAAGGATTAATTGTTTTATTCCATGGAGTAGTCCTTCTCTCATAATTTTGTGGCTCCTTTGAATGAGCTGAATGAACCCTAAATCTGAAAGTGTCATACATTTAAATTCTATTTTTATCTGCTTTGGTTAAATATTTACTAACTTCCTACGAGAAAATTGATTTATTATATATTTTACCTCTTTTTATCTATATATTATTGATTTTATTCTTTTATTAATAATATATTTTATTCTTGCTTATAAAAAAGCTTCAGCATTTCACTAAAGTAAAGATGACCTTTTGCTTCATTAATAACTTCCTACAAAGTTAGATTTTGTTCTTCCACTTGCTCGTAGGATTGCTCTTAGTAAAGGATTTAATTGTTTTCTTTTTGGTACCCAATATTTGGTAAGAGTAGGGGTGTCAATATTGGACCCGACCCAAAATTTTTGGATTTTTGGTTGACCCGAACCCGAAGCAGAGCGGGTTCGGGTCCGGAAAATCGACCTGTTTGCAAAAAATGGGTCGGGTTCGGGTTGACCCGACGGGTTGCCGGGTCAACCCCAAAACCCGTTTAATTTAAAAAATTTGGTTTCCCGACCGCTGACCCGCTGCCTTGCGCCCCGCGTTGCTGCCCCGCGTCCGCTGCCCCCGTCCGCTGCCCCGCGCGTCCGCACCCACTGCCCGCAGGCAAAAGCATTTCAGCAACATGACCACGTTAATTTAATTGATGAATATATTTCATTATGGTCGCTGGGACATCCCGCGCCCGCCGCAGGATTGGCCGTAGCAGCTTGCCGGACTCCGCGTGCCCGCTACGCCGCTTGCCCCCCCGCGAGTGCAAGCCCTCGCGTCCGCACCCCTAGGCCGCCGCCGTTCCGACGTTCTGGCGCCGGCAAGAACCAAATCCTGTCGGAACATTAGCTTGTCCTTTGGAGGTGAGCTGGTTTCTTGGATTATTTGATTATATACCAGGCGGGTCGGGTTGGGTCCGCGAACCTCTCGATATTGATACCCAATAAGTTCGGTATATTCGGTGTTCGACTCAAACTCCGCACACCGTATGACCGAAAATTGAGCACCCCTAGGTACAGACCTCTATATTTCCAGCTCTTGTATAACAATTTAAATTAATAGGGTAAAGATACAGTTAATGTCACCTGAGTGGACCAAAATGGTTATTTTACTTTCACTAATCTATAAATAAACAATATATCACCATTCCACTCTTTAATGAACACATTTATATAAAATAGTCTATAAATCATATCATTCCAAGAACATATTTTTTATTGTGAGATGGTACCATTGCACATAATAGTATGGGGTTTGGGCGGAAGATGTTTTACAAATATATTTCTTCTCCTGATAATTTTTGGTATTACGCATTAATAAAAATACAGTTACAAGAAGTTTAATTAAAAGTAAATAACCATTATACTTTGATTTATGAGAAGACTAAAAATAAAAAAAAAAAATGCAGAATCGATGCCGGTCTTTCCGACCCGGACCGGACCCTTAATTCACCAATTCACACAGGTTGATCGTTGGTTCATGGTTGAACCGCCAGTCCAATCCGAATATTTTAAAACCTTCTAAAATAAGCCACCTACACACACCCCTCACCAAACATACACTTTATTAAATAGGTTTATTTACTATTATTATCAAATAAAGAAAGAATATAGCAATTTCAAAACTAATTTATCACCATGAGACTTCGCCAACTTACTCGTTGCATTTTCCACAGCCCATAGTGGGAGCATGATGGGCTAATATATTATCTAACCTTCTGCATGATTAGAAAGAACAGAGTGTTCTCCTTGTTTAAGCCGATCTCCATAGATCTGGGTCACAATCCTTGTTATAAGATATTTGTGGAATAAATATATAATCCTTTATTTTTAGATATCTAAAAAAAAATACTTCACGATATGCTTAATCTCTTTTTTTGTTGAATTATTTCAAGGAGAGCGCGTGGATAAATCTGGTCTTCCAAGTTTGTCCACGATCAAAATTCTATAAAGAAAAGAAAAAAATGGGCAGCAGGCATATCACAACTTTATTATATTTCTTAGTCTTTTAATTTTGATATTGCTCTCGCTCTTGTTTTTCCCTACGAGTATTGTCTCCACTAAGGAGTATACTGTGGAAAAGTTTTTACATGTGATTAAACATAAAATATGTGGGAGTAATACAATAAACCAAATAAGGATGATTCAACAAACTTATAATTTTTATCAAAAATATCTGGATATCTCTCAAAGATTAAAAACTAACTTATCCGTTGTTTATTATCACCGGAGGTTATCATTCCCAATAGGCCCGATTGATAAGGCGAGGCACGTAAGCGCTCGCTAGGCAGGCCCTCGAATGACTTGTAGGAGTATAATATCACTCTTGTTAGAAAAAATAATTTGTTTAAGATCTTATAGTTTTATTTTTTTTTTTAATTCTAATATGTCACATTATCAAATTTATGTGAGCATACAATTACAAGAATTGTACAAGAGGATATAACCTCTGATTCGGAGATGTACTACTTTCTTGATCAATAAAGATCCAGGGGATGTCACAAGGGCTGACGAATTTAAAGTCGGCAAGCTTTGTAATTTTAATTGGCTCTGATCTCTGAAGTCAATCCTTCATAATTAAGAGCTCATCGTTCAAACATTTATGGCCATGACCAACTGGCTGACTTTGTTCTTCTGCTCATTGACTGAGAATGCCGATTCTTCGATTCTCTAAAAAGTTAAGAGCAACAAGGGCAGTGCCAAGAGAAAGATATGTTTGTCATCATCAATAACTAAGCCATTGAAAATAAGATTTGCAACAGCTAGTGTTGTAACTGCGTCGGTTAATTTTATCTCACCGCTCGGCCGCCTAACTGCCAGTTAGGCCCTTGAAGGACGCGCCGGTAAGGGGCCGTCGGTAACTTAACCGGCGGTATGGCATTCGGCCGGAACACCTGCCTGTACAAAGCAGTGGATAACGCTGCGGTATATGCCGCCGAAGCCGTCGGGCTAAATTAAGCCGTCGGTAAAACGCCCAAAATAGTTTCCTACTCCATATTTTATCCTGGCGTTTCTATAGCGCCCCACAAAGCCAGCCGTACTTCAATACCGGCCAGTTTTTTCACGCGCAAACCGCAAGAAAAACCCCGCGGTTTTGGGGTGTTTCTGTCTGTTAGTGACGTCGCTCAAGTCAATAAAGGCATTGCCCCTCTAATTATAACTCACGTCAATGCACTGTAATTTCAATAGAATTTCATTGAGCTCCACACTTGGGAAGCAAATAACAAATACATGTTTGAAGGTACCAATTAACTTTTCACCAAGTAAGCTTTAGGCAATTATATCATTTGGCATAATTTGGTCCTCCAAAGAAACTTCAATTAAATAATTGAGATGATAATATCATAAGATGCTAGGGGAAGATTAAAAAAGAAACTATAAACATCATTTTTAGCCTAAAGAGTTCTCTAGAGTCATTAGGTTTTTGATTGTATATATGGATAAAAACTCAATGCTTTCTCTCATATAAATAGGTGTAAGGTTCAACATAACTTTAGAAAATTTTAATAATTATATCCTACAGAATTTAATTAAAATTTTTTTTATTCGATTCATTATTTATTTAATAATATGGATCATTAAATTTTTGACTAAATTCAAGTCATTTTGAATAATTTTTTTATTAATGGTTATACACTCTAATAAATATTTTTTTAATTATAGATTGAAATTATAATTTTTAAGTTAATCTCATCAAATTTACGTTTCTTTCTTAGATATACAAATTAATATATAATTTATATTGACTATATTACCTAATATTTAATGTTTTTAACTAATAAATTAACCCAATTTAATATTATACTTGACACTTAATATTTTTCCCTTCGTGGACTCATAACGCCTGACACGGTCCCCCTACCACTCGAAAAGCTGTTTGACGAACAACTTAGGTCTGGTAGTTGGGACCTTTCGGGTTGCAATCAACTAAGTTCGAGTCTTGCGCATATGATGTGTTGTATAAATTGTCTTAATTTCCTAAATTCTCTTTTCTTTTCT